ACAGCTTTAAAAAAAAAAAAAAAGAAAACTAAATATTGGAAAACCATTTCCCACTAACTTCATTGACCTGCTAGACTATCTTCAATCATGGGCAGAACTGGCAGGTTTTGTAAAAGCTCTTACTGTCTTTTCTTAATGCTTTTATCACTGAAGTGCACATTTATCCACAGAATGTGTCTCAGAAGCGGAATTAGAAGAGCCCCGGGGGTTTACCTCTGCTCCGTCCTCGTCACGATACGTGGCAAGCACAGAGTGCTCTTGGATACTCTGTCTCTGAAGGGCATGGCAAAGATTATAGCAAAGCATCTGTCAATAACATCATCACTGAACTGCCAAGAGGAGTTTCTTGGGATTTATGAAGAGAGTCAGCAAGGAAGAAAAGTGCTAGGTAACAACAAACGATCCAGCTGAGGACACTCAGTCCTAGAAATCTCTCACTTTCACTTGGACCAGCTTCAGAAAGGGCTTCCAGCCCCAGTTGCATGGCTCCAATGTGTGGCAACCTTAAGTTAAGCTTCAGAGCCCAGGCTGTAAACTTGGCTGAAGACCTTAATCCCTGTGTCAGTGTGCTGCATTGACCCAGTAGGAGAACAGCCCCCTTAGTACACTAAGATATAAGCTGTGGTATTTAGGCAAACCCTTATGGACACTTGTTTACATAAGTGACTTGTGACCTCCTGTATTGGCAGCTTCTTATTCAAAGTCAACCCCCTTTCCTCCTGTCCTGGTTTCAGCTGGGATAGAGTTAATTTTCTTCCTAGTAGCCGGTACAGTGCTGTGGTTTGGATTTAGCGTGACAATAATGTGATAACACACCGATGCTTTAGTTGTTGTTAAGCAGTGTTTCTGCCAAGTCAAGGACTTCTCAGCTTCCCATGCTCTGCCAGAGAGGAGGTGCACAAGGAGCTGGGAGGGGGCACAGCCAGGACAGCTCACCCAAACTGGCCAAAGGGATATTTGCTGGGGGGAGTTGGCTGGCGGGCAGTGATCGCTGCTCGTGGACTGGCTGGGCGTTGGTTGGCAGGTGGTGAGCGGTTGCATCACTTGTTTGTTTTTCCCCTGGGTTTTGTTCCTCTCTCTCTCTCGTTGTTTTACTTTTCATTACAAATTATTATTATTTATTTCAAGTATTAAACTGTTCTTATCTCAACCCACGAGTTTTCTTACTTTTGCTCTTCCAATTCTCTCCCCCATCCCACGGGGGTCCCGGGGCAAGAGTGAGCAAGCAGGGGCGGGGGGAGACTAAGCGAGCGGCTGTGTGGTGCTCAGTTGCCCACTGGGGTTAAACCACGACACCTCCATACTCTCTGAGACAAGGAAGTGAGATGCAATGACGGTATGTATTGCTTGCCTCTTGGAGGTGGAATGGATGACACTGAAGCGTTAATGTCTGGGAAACAGGAGCATGGCTCTTTATACCAGAAAATACATTATCTCCTGTGCAGAGGGCTATGGTCTTCCTCACCCTGACCCTGCTGAGGTGTAATCCGGTCACTGAGACACTAGCCTAGATGAACGCAATCCACAGAATTAAAAGAAAGCTAAAATAAAATGAAAGTGAGAGCTTTAATGCTCTTTACTGGAAAGTTTAGATTTCTGTAGGCCTGTATGTCTACATGTGGTTTGCTCACGTACTGCACACTGTGCAGTTAAGTAAAATCTAGTTGAAGTGCAGTGTGGCAGGGAGCAGGAGCACATCAAGGTTACTCCAGTGGGTTGGGTCGTTTCAAAATGCATGGAGGAAATGCATTTTGCTTCCTGTTTTAAAGGCTCTGTATACAGTGCAGGTGAAAAAGTGGAAGAGAGAAGATGCAGGGCAGTAGCACACTCCTACATCTGTTTGAAACGGCAAGTCAAATGCCAGCTTTCTTGTCTGCTGTACAAGCTGCGTAGTATATAAACATTTTTATATATAAAGAAAACCAATCTCTACCTTCGCTGTATTGAGGTCTTGGGACAGAAGGGAGGACCATCATGCCTTTATGTACGCAAGTGATAGGCTTTAATTTAGCTACTAGCACTGAAACATTGTAGAGTCACTGGAGCGGATTCATAGCCATGAAAAATACAAAACAAGGTGTCTTTACCCAGCAAGGGGTAAAGAATAAAACATGCTCTACTGTACAAACCTGAGGAACCAATTTTTTTAATACTGTGTGTGGGTTTGATTTAATTCTTCCCCTTCCTGTACACAGTCATTCTGAAAAGGATCTAGAAGTACAGAGGAGCATGACAGGTATCCAGGGGTGGGTCTGGCTCTCTGCGGGGAGAGACTAAACAGACTCAACAGGCTGGAAAAGACAATGGCGGCAAAATGCGATGGCTTTATAGACTGCTATGAATGGCACAGAAAGGTGACTAAGGAATGCTTAGTCACTAATTTTTGCAAGGTAAGGAGTAGGGACATCAAAGGGAAGTATCAGACAGTAACTTGAAAGCAAAAGGAATTAGAACTTGTTGGCAAGAATGTAAAGGGGGAGGGGGGGAAGGAATAGGAAAGGAGTGGGGGAAAACTCATGAAGGCTAGATCTTGCAGAGGTTTTATTGGGTGTGCTGAAAGATTTCTGACCTGTGAAGATGTTCCTTCTCCCAGCATCCCCTCCCAACTCTTCAATGTGTTTCTTTCTTCCCCTCCCTCATCCCCCTTTATTCTGCCTCTGTATAGGTTTAATTTATTGTGATTACAGAAGTTATACAGAAGCATTTCTCCTGGGTAGATATCCACACTGACGTCCTGGTAGACAAAGCGTGGTGGAGAAATCCACCACCAGCCTTTGGGAGTCCTGTGGGTGAATTCTAGTGTATGTGTTCTCCAAATATTTTTAAAATTAAGTGATGCCTCTGGAGAAAGTTCCTGGATAATAGCTATTCTGTGTAGACCTTCATCCTCTTACATCACACCAGTGGTGATGGCTAATGCTCTAGGGAAGAGGCCCTATTTAACTTCTATCTGGGTGTAGATGAGGGCTATGTGCATGACCATCATAGCTCTCATATAAGGGACATAAGCTGTTTTTTCCTGACACTTGAACAAGAACACCCTTTTCTTACCAAATACAGTAGTAATGCCTCCAGACAAAGACCTTTAGGGTAATGGAACATGCTAGGAATATTTTTTTCATTAAGAAAAAAAAAAACAACACCCACCAAATCTAAAGTTTAGCATGTCAGTTAACTCTGAGTTGGGAGTGAAAGGGCAGGAGAGGAGAAAGATCAAGGATGTGCTAAGGAGCTCTTAGAGCACTCCACAGCTACCTTCCTCCAAGAACTTATTTATAAAAGCACACAAAAAATTTCTAAAAGTACGGCTGAGAATAACAGTTTAACTATCATAACTATTTATATGCAGGACAGAGGAAAATACTCTCAGAAATGGTGCCATCAGTCAAACTTTTCTCTGAACAGGAGTCTGATAGATAGCTCCCTGGAGCGTCCTCCAGCACACAGACTCGCTACTATGTAATAGCATTTGTTATGGCTGGCAGTTTTTCAAGGTTGGGTATATTAAACTAGATTCCTATGTCTATTTATATGCCAACTTATTGAAACAGCCTGTTTGGGTTTTTTTTTTTCCCCTCCTTCTCTAGAGCCGTGAGCAACAGAAGTCAGTGGGTGCCTGTCTTTGAACGAAAGTACTTTTTTGAGGAACCTAAAACATTAAAGCCCAACCTAAACCTTGGGCTTTAATGTCAGCATGAGCTAGAACTTTACGATGATGGTATGACAAGGGAGAAAAAGGCTGGAAAATTGAGAGCCAGAAAGTAACCTGAAAACAATTAACAACTGAAAGTACCTATCAGTGGAGATGGAATAATGGCAAAAATTCCTGTCCCATCCCATTTTCAATTTAAGTCCAAGAATGAATCCTTACGTAGTCTAGCAATTTTTCAGGACAGATAAAACAAACAAAATGCTTAGCCTCGTAGGTAGACTTTGGGCAGCTGATACTATGCAATGAACTGAACAAATCCTTGCTGGCCAGCAGTAGGGCACTTCTTTGCAGGACAGGGACTAGAGGTGCTGCCCGCTGCCTCATCAGGAGGTGACTACCTAGCAGCCACGTTACTGGCATTGAGCATCTCTTAAATGTGAATAGTTCCTCACTTTTCTGCCTTTCCGCAGAGTAACTTGGATGACTTTTGCCTACATTTCTCAAATGGTGTTTCTACAGTGGTGGTGGTGTGTTTGGCTTTGCTTCTAGCTGTGCTATGTGGTACCGTGCAGTCTCCTGTGGTTCTCCAGAGGCCTGGACCTGTGGTGAAGATGGTGCTCTGCTCCATTGGCCCTGCTGCTTTCAGCATTGAATACTTGATACTCAGAGTCCAAGGTACAGTCAAGCTGTACAACCACTTCTCTCTAAAGATGAACTGACCTGCTTGTCCAAAGCTTCAAGAACAGGTACTTGTTTTCAAGATGCTTTTATGGGCTTTCTGGAGACTTTACATACAGGTGTTGTCCAAACATACGAAAAACCAGAGCTCTCTGAAAGCTCTAGCATGGATAAAACTGACTCATATGCAAAATGCTGAAGCTTGAAACAAGGCTAAAGTGAGTTTGAGTTTTGTAGGATTATGATGAACAAGGTCTGGTCTGGTAGAATAGAAATGTAGTGGCTTTCCTAATTGGTTTGTCCTCTAATTGAACACACCTTTTTCCAGATGAACTTTTAAAATGAGTATTTCAAGGTTCTGCTCTTCAGATTGGCTCTCACCCATGATCCGTGCTTCTCCATGGGGGTGACATGTCATACAGGAATTGCCCTAGTCCCAGGTGAAAGTCCATTTAAAACTTAGTATTAAAGCTGAATTTAATGCTCTACATCCTTATTCTTACCAGGACAAAAACCTGGCAAAGCCCCAAAAAATCCCAAGTAGATGAGCTCAGAGTTGTCATGATGCGCAGATGTCATCCTTACAGATCGGGAAGGAATGATTCAGTCATTGGCATACCCCATGAGATACGTAAATGCCACCAGGTGAGCACCCAAGTTCTTCTGGCTTTTTTAACTCCCACATGAAAATCTGCAAATATCTGTGATGTAGTTTTCGATTAATCCATAGGTATTTCAGTCCATGTTGGAAAACTGGGCAAGTTCCTCAAAGAGAGTTAGGAAAGCTGGGGGGTACCAGTACCTTCTTTCCAGTAAACAGCAGACAAATCTGATACCTCTGGGCAAAGCTCTCATCATAAAGCATGTCAGAGGCCCGAACGTGGCGTAACTGAGGGGTTAACAGTGGTAATGCTAAACTATGTCACTAAAAATCTTTTGGCACTTTCACTTGTTTCCTTTTCTTCCTCCCTTATCGTGCTTAGTTAGGGTAAGAGATAACTTTCCCTTCACGTGGCAATAGCATAGGCTTCTAAACTGTTTGAAAGCTTAACTTCAGAAGTAATGAATAATATGACCGAAATAGATTTGGACCAGTATCCCATCTTTGATTTTTTTTTTTCTTTTCTCTTTTTAATGGGCATTACAATCCCTTTTGGCTTTGCTCACATTTTGATAGCTATCCCTAGGAAATAAGAGCTAATTGTAAAATAGGCTGGCATTGTGACTTTGTTCTTTGCTTTGTGCTGCAGCTGCCACTGGAGAATTGTAGCCTCATTAAAATCCATTATTCGACTTGAAGTCCTGGACTTCTGGACTGAAAGAAATCTGTCTAATTGTCATGGCCAGCTGATGGTGTATGAAGGATTTGGACTAACTAAAGAGTTCATAGGTGAGAGAGAGCTCACCTTAATGCTGGGGTGAGAGAAACAGAGGAGCTGAGCTAAGTTTCTTTTGCAGACAGACAGGGAGTTTTACATGGCAGACTTCCATGCTCCAGGAGGGATTTCTGATAATACTTGGAGCTACTTCAGCTAGCTCAGTATCTTTCCCTTCCTAGAAATACTGTTGCAGTCAAATGTATTGGATGCAAGGTCCTAATCATGGCATGGCTGTGCCTCAGAACAACGTGAGTTTCTCTGGGTTGCTCTTTCCCAGGCTTGAACTTGCAGCATGACAGCTTGCTGTGTGTGTCTGAAGCTGTGTGCCAAAGGCAGCAGGTCAAAGCTGTGGGGCCAGCGGAAGGGAAGCATTTCCTACTGCCCTGCTATGCCAGGGGAGGTACCTACCCACCCTGATTAAGGAGCTATTGGCTTGGTTAGGTAGGATATTGCTGGGGAAACAAAGCTGTGCAAGTACCTTCTCTATCGGGAGGAGAAAGCCTAGACTGAAAATTTGAACTGTTCAGGCACTCGTGGATACAAGGCTCTTCAGTGCCAGGTCTCAGTTACTCTCAAAGTGACGTATTCCCCAGGGAATATGGATGTCCCACGGTCTTGTGGGCATTGCATAGTGCCTTGCACAAAAGAGCCTGAGGTGGGGTCTGCCTGTCAGAGCAGGGATTTCTTATGAGCAAAGTAGTCCAGGCAGTGGGCACTTGCCACGAGTGATTTGTAGTGGTTATAATGGGCACCTCTATTTTCCTGTTTGAAGAACAGACAAATAGTTACCATTCTGGTTACAAGTATAGCAAGCTATCTTCTGGACATGTCTGTAGTCCAATGCACGAATTCAAAGCTGAATGCCGTCATTAAGAGGTTTTTAGAAAGGGAAATTTTTTCTGACACTGCATTTTGCAAGGCTTAGCCCTCAAGAGAAAAAGGGGAAAATGGAAGGCTCGCATCCCATCCTGGTCTATTTTGGAGGCAACTTCTGTGGTGATGCTTCCCTCTATCCCATAAAATCTCGAGGTTCAGTGGTGACAGTGACCTTCACTTCCAAGGCTGAGGCAGCCATGAAAGGCTTTCTCCTGACTTACTCTGTTCAGGATATATTACCTGGTAAGTCTATTAAGATTTTGGGGTGGGAGTGGAGAAGCAGAGCCTAAAGTATGGATGTTATATTAAAAAAAAAAAAAAGTGTTATGTGAGAACAAAAAAGCTGCCGTACTGTTTAGATGTTTTCTGAAGATGTTGAGTGATGTATTAAACAGTCTCAGATCTATCTGTTCTGAAGAGAAATGGCCTTTAAGAATAAGAGATGTATCAGTGGTCTTGAGTGCTGATGATTAAATGCGACCTAACTCCTGTGCTCCCCACTATAAACCTGTAAAAAGGAGATAACTAACTTAGCTGTTGCTATCTATATGCCCCTTTCCATTCTGCTCTACAAAACCAGAATCCCCTGTCCCCACAGTCTGTCTGCTATTCCTTCTATAATCTCTCTTCTGCTTCTTCACCTAGTAGGTAATGCTGCTGTTGGGTGCTGCTGTTACCACTGCCCCCCGCCCCAAACCTCGCCTCTGCTGCATACCCAGAGATCCCAGTTAATTGGGCTCTAAGCTTAAAGACCAAAGGAAACCTCCCTTGCTTTCTTGCTTCCCAGGCCAGGGTACAGGTGGTGGCAGGGGCGGACAGTTTTCTCTGTGAATAGCACTGCCCTGGCACCATTAAGCAAATTAGGACTTTGATGCCTCAGATCAAAGAAACTTGGAGCTGGAGAGATGCGTCCAGTCTGACTCTCCTGTTTTCTTGCAAGCAAACTGTTTTGCATTTCTAGTGACTTGAGCCACATCTAATCTCCTTCCCCCATCCCCCTTTCTCCTGTCTTACCTGTGCTCCTCACTGCTGTGTGAATGAGCACATCTGCTTGTTCACGTACCAAGCAAGTGTGTCAGCTTCAGAAGTAAATCGCAGCGATTAAATTTCTCATATTAAAATTCATCAGACTTACAGCACCATCAACAGAGATCTGTCTGCTTTTTCACGTGCGCACACACATTTCCAAGATGCACTCCAAGCCCTGGCTCTGAAGACCAGGAGGTGCCTTTTCCATTCACCTGCAGCCTGGCTCTAAACTCCTCGGCTCAGGCTCCCCTCCCCAAAATAGCCCTGTAAGCTCCTCTGTGTTTGTGTGCTTCAGGTAAGGCAGTGCTTTCCTTTTAGGTCTGGGATGTGGAAACACCAAGGTTGCTGACAAAGGTAAGACTGGTTTTAACTTTCCACAAAGCTGTTGAGAGGGAAGGAGCAAAAAGCCTATTTTAAAATAAAAAACCAAACCAAATGAAAACATGCCCCATTCCTTTTATGCACGTTCTGTACTTGTGGCTTGAGGGTTAACCTCTGTCACAGGTAAGTGTGAACACTTGGATATGAGACTGTCACCAGCAACATTAACCATGTCAGTACTAAATGTACTTTATTAATTCAGCACATCCCTCT